AGGGTACAGCTATACCTTTTCTATGCTAAAAACTAACTTATCCCAACTCCTCCCAAATCCCTCCACCCTCAATGACTGCGATCAAGGCCTGAGCCTTTACATAATCGCCTAAAGGATGGTTACCATGACCACCCAACATTTATTCTAAAAACTATTGTCTAAGCAGGATCGTAAGATTTACAGGGTGTGTACTTTGACCTTTACTAAGAGACTAGTAGTGGGACTAAAATTACCTTTAAGTATATAAAATATAATTATTGTGATATATCTATTACAGGGGGGATTTAAATTCTTTAAGATATAAAACAGTATCTGTTTCTCAGTCAGAGCTTCAGAATTTGTCACCATTGCAGTGTGTTTGGCCATGTCAGATACTGAGGCGCAGCCGGCTCCTGGCAGTTATCTCGTATTTTCCAGAATATCCAGTGAGGATATTCACTGAGCTGTGCTGTGAAAGATGCCATAGCCGTCCATTTGTAAAATTATCCTCTCGCTTAATTCTGTCACCTTTTCGTCACCTCCTGCATATGGTCTCCCACCGATAGCTGGATGCTGTGTGCCCAGGGATGCAGTTGAAGCTCAGGCAGCTTCTATCTCACTGCTCTACACCCTCGCTGGAGCCTAGGGGATGATTTAAAATGTGCCTTCCCCTCGCTGTGGGGCCAGCTCATTGAACCCCATGGACTGAAACTGAGGAGGGAGGGGAGGGACGTCAAAGGGATGTCCTCAGAAGAAAGGGAAATGGATGGTGGATAATCAAAACCAGCCAGCGTCTGCCATTCTGGGGTTCTTGGGGTTGCCTTTGAGGCGGGGAAGGGAGTGGTTTCTCTACCCAGGAGTGGAAATGGCACCAGTTTGGGAATCAGGAAACCAAGTTCCGGTCCCAGTTGTGCTGCTTCCTAGTCATGTGACCTGGCTCAAGCCTGTTTTTTTCTGTCCCTTTGGCCTCAGTTTCTCCATCTGTACAATGGGTGGGAGGATGGATTCCACTCTGATGTTTTGAGATGCTGTAGATTCTTTCTCTTTAGCCCTTCAATTACTACCTGGAGGCAAAACTCATCCAGAAAGGGTTTTCAAGGAGAATGCTAAAATGTACCTCGGATAAGTTTTTGTGGTTGAAAAAGTTCCTGGCAGCAAGTCTCTAAGTTTCTTCTGCTTAAGTGGCGTCTGAAGTCACAACTTCTGTGGACATGACTCTGACAGCTAAAGCCCTTCAAATTTGTCTTCCCCTCCAGGCATCACCACATCGGCTCTTCCGCGTGTGTCCCAGCTCTTGGCAAGGTGAGTGCCCTTGCCTGCTCTCCTCCTGCCCGCTCCCTCTGTCTTGGGGGACAGATATCTGGAGCCAGACTCCCTGGAGAGGAACCACAGGGCCAGCACTTACTAGCTGAGCTACTCTACCTCCCCAGGCCTCAGTTTCCACATCTGGAAAAGGGGGACAGTCGTGACACCGGCCCCATGAAATGAGCTAGAACACGTAAAAAGCACTTAGAAGGGGGACCTGGAACAGTGTTTGGAGAGTGCTGACTATTTTCACCTTCTCTTTGTTCTTTTGTTCAGTCTTTCCTTCCTCTCCTTCTTTCCTTCCCTGTGCATAGACTGTTTCTTAGTTCCTCCCTCCCTCCCTTCTTCCCCGTCTCTCCCGCACTTTTTACCTTTTCTCTTTCCTCTCCCTCCTTTTCTCTATTCCTTCTTTCTCTCTCCCTCCCTCTTTCTTTGTCCTTCTCTTTCTTCCTGTCTCCCTTCCCTCCTCATCCTTCTTTCTTCCCTTCCCTTCTCATCCTTCTTTCTTCCCTTCCCTTTCTTCTTCTCCCTCTTTCTCCCTCCCTTTTTTCATCCTTTCTTCCTGCTCCAACATTCACCCAACACCCCTCGGTACCAAATCCCCTACCAAGCCCTGGAGATTCAGAGGTCCCTGCCCTTGGAGAGCTTCCAATCTCGTGGGGGAGACAGACCAGGAAATCAGAGACCTCAGCACAGCTGGCAGATCTGCACAGGAGCAGTGGGAACTCAGTGGCAGACACGGCTCACCCAGGACCCTTAGGGGCCTGACCTTGGAGAGCCACCTGTCTGCGCCCCACAGCATGAGAAGCCCTGGGTTTGGCCTGGCCCGATGGTCAAAACCTCCATATCTGTGCATGTCCTCCCTTAAAAACACTGGAGCAGCTGTTTCTAAGAAACACACTTTCCCTCCAAAAAATGTTTTGGGGGTTGTTAGTAGCAACTGAGGTCTGTTAAATCTTCCTAACTTGTTTTAGGGCCTCAGAGTTAGGGAGCTTCCCCATCCTTTCTCTGGGTTTTCATTTTAGCCCCAGTTTAATCTGAGTAGGGTAAATCGGTTTTGATGGGAAACAGGAGTTGATCACCTCAGATTTCCACCTTCTTCTTCGAAGACCAGGTATAATAAACTGGGGACATTTTCACATAAGGTTCTCTGCTAAGTCCCAGCCCTCCAGATGCGTTTCCAGGCACCTCACAGAGTGTGCGATGATCTTGCATCGGGTACCCACCCCTTGGCCAAGAGCAGGGCATCCTGATTGACAGCGCTGTCAAGGCTGCAGTCAAGTGGGAAGGTGTCTAAATTAGGCCAGATAGTCA